AGGTTATGATCGGTTCAATCTTTGTTTGTTATTGGATAAGCAGTAAATCTACAGGAAATTTTAAAGTTTATCATATTATGGTGCTTCTACTTTCAAATGTACATGAGATTTCTATTTAGCTTGATTTTCCATGTGGTGGTCTTTTTGGTCAGGCAACAAAACGGCACTTGACACAGAGAATTGAGAACTTGGATGGGAAACTGGATGAGCAAGTAGAGATTTCGAAATTAATTAGGAGCGAGGTAATTTTAGATGGAATAATTATTAGTTTTCTCTTAAGTTGATTTTCTATGATGCACAGTAGAATATACCATACTGTTGGTGTCCTGTATAGGTTGTCTTTAAGTTAGATTCTTTAGCTAGATGAATACGAGGAATCGGATTGTGACCTCTGCTTGTGGAGACTGTAACAAAATCTGATATGCGTCAAACATTGCTCAGAATAATTACAACCTAAAATTTGAACATGTGAATCAGGTTAATGATGTTCGTGGTGACCTCTCTCAAATTGGCTTCGATTTGGATGAATTGCAGAGGATGGTATCTGGCTTGGTGAGTTTTACATTTTATGAAATTGTTTGTTTCTTTTAAGGATTATACATTTGTGTATGGTGTAATTATCCAAGAGCTGCCACATTGTGGTGGTGTAAGTTTGCATTGAATGTTCATCCTGTCGATTCAAAGCAACTGTGAAAGTGATTGCATGAAAGGAAATTCGATTGAGGGTGCAAGTCTCTCTCTCTCTCTGGTTGGGTATGGGAGGCTATGTTCTTGAGTACAATACTTTCTTTGTTTGAAAAGGAACCTGATTTTGTCCTTGCCGACATAGTTAAATAGATCATGAAGAAAATGAGACTTTATTTTATAAGCTTTAAATAATTCTCCAGCGCACATGGCATATTGAGCAACATATTTTGTTTCAGTACCCAAGAAAATTGGACTTCACTGACTCTGAAGTCTTTCGTGTCTCTTTGGTTTGAAAGGCTCACATGTTGCAGTTTTATGTGAACGTTTTGTGATGAAGCAAAGTAGTTAAAACTTTTAGTCTTTCTGCTTTGGTTGTTGACGAGTCATTTTTTTGTACTGTGGTTTATTGCTTCCTCATTTTTCGTGTAAACTCTCCTTATTTAATATTGGGAATTGCAGGATGGCAAGCTACTCTCACTGGAAGGCAAACAGGTAAAACATATTCCATTGTCTTGAATGAACTAATTGTACTTCACAGAAACTATAATTTTCTTCCATTCTTCCAATTTTTGGTGCTAAGGAGGAGAATTGCTTTTTTTTTTTCACTATCCAGATAGCAAATTACTCTTTAATTGAAATATTTATTTCTGATGATTCCTTGAGTTGTTAGTTAATCTTTGTTTTCTCATTGATGATTTATTGTTGTAGGAGCTTGCAAATGCTGGCGTTATGTATCTATGTAGCATTGTCAGTGGAAGGAAGCCAAAAATGCCTGAAATGCTCCAGGTTTGAAATGCTACTGAACTCTTGTTTCTTCAGTTTGTCCATGCTAGTGACGTATGTTAGATAATTTGCAAGATGCTCAGTTTAAATTACGCCATCTTCTTAGTTTGACTCGAGATCTTAAACAATGGCTTTTTGTGGATGGTGGAAGGTTGGATCAGCTAGAACAAGAATGTCATTGGTATCGTACAGAATACTGTAATCGGTTACTTGTCTGGTCCCTTTAACTGAAATGATTAGTATTACCAACAGATTGTACGTCAAAGAAGAAATCCTCAATTAAAACTTTTAAAATTCATTTTTATTACATCTTGTCCCTTTTTCATTAGAAACATTTCCTTCATGTGTGGATTGACTAGGTTTTTTACATTCAATTGGCGTTATGTTGGGGCTGTCAGAGCCCTTTGGCATCTCCCGTAATGTGTTGTACATTGTGGGAAGCATAACTGAGTTCTATTTTATGTTTGTTCTTGGCTAAATATTACTCTCTTCCCCTCATACAGTTTGATTATTATATTTGTATAGTAAAAAAATACTGTGTTCTTGAGATTGGGGATATTAACCAATTTCATATTTGATTATCAAAGGCTTTGTTACTCATCATTTTCAAACTAGTTCTTTATTCTATGTTTTTGTGCAGGATCAATTTAAAATTGGTGGAAACTCAGTGCCAAGTCTGATGGTACCTCTTCTGACTCAGTTACCCTAGTACATCAATTTTTAAGAAAAAAATATATAATAGTTCGAATATTTCTTTAAATACAAAACAGGTCAATACTGCTATGCCTAATCATATGGAAACAACTGGTGGATTGAAAGTTCATGATCTTGTTTAGCATAGTTGATATCAATGTGCTTAGAAACTTTGTTTCTAAAAAGCTAGGTGATTCCGATTGATGTGCAAAAAGGAGAAAAGATTAAAAAATGAAAAATTCTAGGTTATTAGATCTTGTAAATTGAAGTTTATGTGCTGATACATGCTTGAATTCGAGGAAAGAGACAATATGTTGAATCAAATGATTGCCAATTACAAAAAAATGTAAATTTGTAATGAGTTAATAATATGGAGGCAAAATTTTCCAAATTGCTAGATAACTGGTTTTGTTATGCAACCATCATCTCCCATTTTGACGTGGAAAAGAAAAAGAATGAGAACTACGAAAGTATTCGTCTATGTTATTAGAGCTTCTAGTTTGAAGTTCTATTTCATTTGAATCTGAGGAAAGTGGAAAATTCTTGATTTAAATGACTCTGAATCGCAATACAAGGCATATTTGTAATGTGCTTCTGAAATGCTAGTTAACTGGTGTTGAGTAATATTTATGTGTCAAAAGTTGAATGAAGAAGACAACAAAATGTAATAGTCATATTATTAGATATTGTTCTTGAAGTGTATTCACATCATCAGCTTCCTTGAATTCGAAGAGGCAAGTTACTGAACTGAACGACTGCCAATTACAATAGAATGTAAATTTACTAAAATCAATTTTATTTTCGTGACGTTGCATTTCAAAATTTGATTATATACTGAAATAAAATTCATTATTTAATGTAATATCCGTCATTATGTACTGGAACTATGTACTGGAACAAATTCTTAAATCGTTATTTTTCATTTCCTTCTCTGCAATTTTTTTAATGCACTGAATAATCCCATCTTTTTTATAGGGTCTTAAGGAGATTGCGGATTCCTTAGCTTCAGGGAATAATCTATTAACAGATGGAAAATTATAAGATGGCACTGATAAGTTGAAGGATTCTCCAAGAAAATTAGGTACGGTTAGAGCATTTTTTTTTTAAAAATGATCAGCACTGCTTCGTTCTTGATTTTGCGTTCTCCAGCGTCTGGGTTTGCGTCCTTTTTCTTTCATTTGGTTGTCAAGTGGATTTGGTCGCATATATACAGATTTCTTTGCCACTTTCTTCTTCCAGCATTTGACAGAATCTCGTTGAAATACAGGACGGCTTCAAACTAGTGCTGAGTGCTACCTTTTACACTTCCAAATGAAGGAATATTGCTTTAAATAACTCGATCATCATATTTTACGTAGGAAATTGTTCTACTTCGCGATTTATTCCAATTTGATACTTCGAAGATGTGCTCTCTAGATTTCTTTTCGACTTCTGTTTTTGTACATGTCCAAATCAAATGCTGCTATGTCGTCAAAACTGCAGCATCTATGTAAAATCAACTGAATCTCCATCAAGATGTCACATAATAAACAAGGTTTGAGCTTTATTTTGATCATTCAACAACGAAAGCTGTATCTCTACTATGTATGAAACGGAGCATTTGAATCACACAAGTCAGTCATATACTCCACAATTTATGGGTCATGAATCACACAATTAACCAGTCACAATCACTATTCTTCCATCCCAACTGACGTTTTGTCTCTCAATTCACAGTTAAGAGTCGCATATAGTTTTTCACCGCTGGTTTCTCCACTGCACCACTATCGACGACAACCATGTCATTACCCAATTCACACAATTTTTCACTATTGAACCCTTGTCTCCAACAATTCACTGGTTATAGTCAGTATTCTTTTCGCCCGCACTCACCCCACATCCTCTCATTTTTCATCCAATTTCACCGTATAACATTCGTCGGCAACCACCACGCCTTTGCTGGTGAATTAAAATTGAATCTAGTAATGGTGCATTGCGGAATGATTCTTGAAGAGGAGAGACGGAGGAGGAATGGCTCTTCCGTGACGGCGATTTGGTGGTTGTAGTGCTTCGAGATGGTGGTTGTGCGAGTTTTTATCCTTCTCCCATTGCAAGCACGCCAACGCTTCGTCGGAACGATGGAAGGCATACCAATATGGTGGTTGGTCGTCAGCGCTAGGGCGATCGGTGTCAGATCATGATCGGGTGTCGCCGCAGTCGAGAGAGATTATCGGATGGACGGGGTGGGTATGGTGTAGTGGAGATGGATTCTGCCAAGGGGTGGATAAGGTGTTAGTGGGGTATATATGTTTTAAAAAAATAATAATTAATACCCGATTTTCGAAATCGAAACTAAAAAGTATGGTTTGAGGTAATTTTATTTGGTTTAAAGTCCAAACCCATCTTCCTTCTTCTTTATCATTTCTAATTTTTCTTTATAAATGAATAAAATTTCTTCGTTCAAACTTAACCTTTTTTTCCATCCGTTTCCATCTGTAAATGCCATAAGGGAAAATGATTTATTTTGATGTTACTCAGACAAGTGACTGATTCTGAGTTCTTGTAGAGTGCAACCATGCATGACAAATTCCTCAAGAAAAAGGAACTGACGCCTTTTGACAATCTAATCCAGTGAATATTAAAATCTTGTATCATTTTCTGAATCTTATCGAGCGCTTATCTGACAAGTACATCGGTAAAAAGACCTTATTCTGTTTACATTAAAGCGGATCGTTTAGCACCAATCTACTCGCTTATGAAAAAAAGAAGAAAAAAACTATTGATATCGAATCTAAACCTGTGCGTTCTTTGGACCATGACAATGACAATGACGAAGTGTTATTCAATGTTTTACGTCATTAAGTTCGGAAAGGCTGTCCTCTTCCATTACACGAAGAAGAAGCATCCTTCTCTGAGGGATCCAGTCTTGGCAACTTTTCCATATTTGAAGGAAAAGCATAATTTGTAACATGATTATTTCCATTGTAAAACACAAAATTATCTTCTTCTCCAACAATATGCAGTTTGATCTTCGTCTTGTCTTTCTCTGTTTCTTCATTAGAAGCAGAAGTAGTCTTCTCCACTAAGTCTTTAAACATGGAAGATCTAAGGAGGAGACCTAATGCAGTTGGAGAAGGTGTCTTGTTAGAAGGGCTTAGGGGCATTTTTCTTTCAATAATCTCGTGTTTTTCGGATATCACCGGGTTGTTTATGGCAAAAGAAGTCGGGGTTGAGAATTTTGTTTCCTTGTTTGCATTATTTATGTAGTTATATGTGGATTGTTGAGCCTCATTTTCTGATATTAAACCCTGAAATCCTACTGAATTTGCATCTGGTCTTAGCCATCTGATGTAAGTGCTCAAATCGAAGTTAGTAACTGCATTAATCCCTCTGTATTCTATTGCTGCAATATCATATGCGTGCGCAGCTTCTTCTTGAGTATCTAAAAAAAAAGTAAATTATGAACCAAATTAATTAACTTTTCTTTACAAGACAACAATCCTTAAAAGTTCACAAATTTGTGTACTCACTATAGGTACCAAGGTAGAGATATCTGTTGCCAAATATGCGGCCTATTCTTGCCTCCCACCTCCCATTGTGATGATGCCTGAAGTTGAATGAATTGAAACCATAATCACTACAAATTAATTCTTGATCAGCCAAAAGAAAAGGGAAATCGTGAAGGATGAAAGCGCGTGCTTTATATGCCTACCTTGCGACCCCTCTATACTTGGATGCACCTCTTGCAAAACCACTGCTGCTTCTGTTTTAGAGTTCAACAAGTTAGACGCATTTTGGTTTGATCAATACTTGTAATATTATTGCATTGAAAGTATAGTTTTTGACCTAATGTGTACCTTCGTAAAGAGGCCAAGTATTCCTCGCGCGTGACATTTTGCATTATCTCTCTCTCTTTCTCGTAATCGGATATCTGGCAAAAAATAATGTGTGTGTTTAGTATAACGCCATGTTGATGAATTTAAACGAGATTTACACGTGATATGTGTGAGTCATACAGGGAAATTTGTGGTTGATGTTCCCCAATACTTGATAGCAGCCAAATCATATGCTCTTGCTGCAGCTTCTTCTTCATCATAAGCTCCTAAAAGTTAATTAGTGAACCAAATTGTGAGTTGCATGTAATCCTTTAAGGTCAAGCTTGGTAGAAAAACATGAGCAATATATAAGATGCTCACCAAGATAGACTGCTCCAACCAAGTAATAGCAAGCACAGGATCATATGAAAATGTCAAAACAGTAATGCATTAGTAAATATTTATAATAATAATTAATCATGCAATAGAAGTGATTGTACCAGGCCATGAAAAAATTATCTACCTTGTTTTCCTTTCTTTTTCTGAGTAGCATTCCATGTCCCTTTATCCCACAGATGAGCTTCATAACGTCCGGTCCAACGATGCCTGAGGGGGAAAAAAGGTAGTAGCCTAGGCTTTAGAACAATCGACAACAAACTAAGCCTTCTTCCCATCAAATTTGAGGTCGGCCTAGCAAGATAATTTGCATGATGTGAACAAGAAAATCACTGAGGTTCAAATTGAACTTTATATTAAACCTGCTAACTCCTCGAAATCTTGAACTTCTTTTTGTCGTAGTGGTTGTAGCCGTAGCAGAAGCAGCAGCAACAGCAGCAGCAGCAGCAGTTTGATCAACCCTAAAGGCCTGTGGCTGCTGTTGTTCTATCTGCTGATTGTTGCAACTAACTGCTACCACCGGAGGAGATCTACGTCGCCTCTTTACACACTTCGTCTCTTGAACATCGGCTGAGATGCTGCACTTTTCAGGGCTAGTCTCAAATTTCGCACTAATTTCCATTTAAGTCGTCGAGTTTTTTCAAGCAATACAACGACCACTTTACTCTTTGCTTCATGCTCAATGAAATGTACACGTATTTATAATCCTTTATCGCTTGCTTAATTTGTTCTTGTTAACAAGACAAATTCTTTTGAGAAAAGACAGGTTTTCGATGATTTTGGGATATTGGATTGCCCAAATTCTATAGATGATATTCATGTTGAAAGAACTTGTCGATGTCTCCCAGGTTGTCTCCCCGTAATGTTGTATTTATTCACTTCCAGGCGTCCTGTCACATAATTAATTAACCATTTTATGACTCTTTCTTCTACATTTTTTTACCAAGAATCGCCTTTGACTTCTTCACAATTAATTACCTCAATCAGATTTAATATTTTCCTCCCATCCATACTTATCTAACAAACTCTGTATGCATGTTTTTCACAGTCGATACTATGCCCATATACTATGAATCTTTATACATATTTAGTTGAACTCGAACACGGTAATAAAGAATTTATGTCGCCCTTGCTTTAGTGAAAAATAAGCTTAAGTATGTTGTCATTGCTCTAATACGTTTCTAACACATTTTAGAGTGATTCAAGCCCGCGCAAATAACGATCTACTAATACGTAGCGCATGCTCTTTGCTCCCTTTTAAGAGTAAAATCTCACACATAATTGACATGTGGCGCGCATCTATCGGTATTCTACAATTTTTGACTTTTCCACACTTTACATCAACGGCAGGATTTCTTCCACATGAATTTATGTAATCCATTATGTATAATAATTATGTACATATAGATTTATCCTTTTAAATATAACAATAAGCCGACTATTTGTTACCTTTTAACATGAAATCCCACGACTTAATATTACCCCAACATAATTAAATAGGGCTGTCAATCTCATGCAGACGAGCCTCCGATTCACATTCAGACATTGAAAATAAGCTCACTGTTGGGATCTTTTGGGTTATTACAAAGTAGACAAATTATTATTCACAGTAAAACAAAGTAGAGTCTGTCTTATGTTAGGATTATAAGCTATAACATGTTTTCGTCTGATTTGTCTCATTGGCATTTATGCGACAAATTGTTGAATAACTGTTATTTTTTTTCCTGGGATTCTTCGTCCACCTGAACGGGGTTAATTAGGTCGATTTGGCTTCTTTTGCAGATTATAGGCGTTTCTCTCGAGATACAACATGTTTTCAAAACTAGTATGGTAAAACACTTACCTTGACAGGTGAACTAAGATTGATTGGAACGATCACGAAAATGAATATTTTGGAAATCTTGAAAATATTTAGAATTAGTAAAACCAGGATTTTCGTATATAAACTTGTATGAGGTTTTGTTATGTATTTTTTTAATTCAATCTGGATCATTGAATCTTACTACTCCATACTCGATCTATTTTAATGTTCAGTTGCACCTTTTTGCGATGTCTACAATCCTTTGACGTACATCCACACATTGAATCGATTGTATCCAGTCATGTCCAATCAAACAAAATATTTCATCCATGCCCCTCTCAACGCTCATATACAACTTGAGGGTGTGAGGTTGGGGTGGCTAGAGTGTGTGACCTTTTGTTATTTATTTCATTAATCCCTTATTTAATTTAGATAAAAAGTCAAATTTTTAATAGATTTTGATAAATGTTGATGGAATGTGTGGTTGAAAAGTTAAGAGACTCATAAAATATGTAGTTAAAATTAACTGTTATTTTGACTTAAATTTTAATCAATTTTATAGCTGAATCAAACAGGGCTAAGTTTTCTTGATTTATTATTTTGTTTTATTTTTTTGGGGGGAAGGGAAGGGGTTGACTGAAAAATCATGTTCTAAAAATTGACTTTCAGCCATGTAGACGAGACTTGACTGTGTAGCCTAAACTAATGTTCAAAATACCTCAAAATATATAAATAAATTCTTGGTCAATATTGTCAATGCTAATTATGCTGCGAAATTCCTCTGCATCTCCTTTTTCCTGGCAATATACTGCAGGAGATATTACATCGATAATGTGCATATTATATTAATCAAGAACATACCGTGAAATCGAAATATCATTCGACTTACCGAAATCTGATTTGAGAAGACAAATTAGAAAATTAATAACTTCGAATATATGAATATAGATTCATCACTTCCCAGTTTTGAACGCATCTCTT